AAAAACCCGTTGCCATCGAGTCGATTCCGACTCATAGTAACCCTATAGGACAGAGTAGAACTGCCCCATAGGGTTTCCAAGGAGCACCTAGTGGATTCGAACTGCCAACGATTTGGTGAGCAGCTGTAGCTCTTAACCAATGCCACCAGGGTTTCCATATGGATAATAGTGACCTTTATTCTTAATTAAGTTGCCAATCAATTTGATTTGGACAACTTGGCATTTATTTGAGACATTAAGCTACTTTCTGGTAATACATTGGGCATTTCTGCAGTAACTCAGGCAACTGAATGTTATAAAGCATAATTTTATCTTGCTTTAATTAAATCTTTCAGATAAAAATGGAACTCACAAACTAATACATTAGAGAGAGGTTATTGAAAATCAGAGTGGCTTGTGACATTACGAAATGAAGCACATGGTAAGGTTCCTTAAAATAGCCAGCTCCTCTAATGTATTCAAATATAAAGTGATTTACAAAGGTAAATATCACACACATTTTCAGGAGCCCATTCATTGCACAAACTGGGGCATATCTGCAAGAGCTCTGTAAGTGAAGGAAAACTTTACCGCTTCTGTGAGCAATAAGAACTAGGAGCAATGGGTAGATACTGTGTACCCTGGCATTATGTCAATGCCAATCTGCTAAGAAGGATTTTAATGTGGAATGGCCAATCTTCCAGTCCCCTCTAGTTGTGAATGGACTAACTGCACAGAATACCAAAAACACCCAATGGAACCTGAAAATAAAACTTCAACATATTTTAAAATCAGTTAGTTGATCAAATTGCACTGATCATTAATGCCCTCTCAGAGACCTAATGATTCCTGGGATTGTTTCTTGGATACTGTCGTAAGAGATCTACTTCCCTCCCTTACTTCTCCCAGGACACCCACCTGGGGATTCTTTCCCCCATGGCATCTACACAGACATAGATCAGACCTCCAGAGCATCCCTCCTTCTCTTCTTCTAGACAGATCCTTAGCCAGAATATCCAACAAACTGCCAACCCTACTCAAGGGCTCCTCTCCTGCCAATATGCTATCATCTCCCTCAGAGATCCGGATAGTGAATGGGAGGAATATTCCTATCAAGGATAAGGCACTGGTTTACAAAGCATTTTCAGAAAAAATTTAAAAGAAACAGACATGTTTACAGATGACACTTAGCTCTTTTAAGCAGTGAAATAGCGAGACGTGGGGGTGAACTTGCAAGATGATCTTGGGCTGGGTATCCTGCGAAAGGGCAGAAAGTTGTCAGAGTCCTTTTTCTAGAAGAGTTTGATATTTATTGAATGTAATGTCTTAGGAAGAATCAAATTGAATTCAAGTGGTTAAGTAAATACTCTTAGGTGGAATTGACCCCAATTATGAGAATAGGAAAGATGAGCTCCAGAGCTCTTAGCTGTCACACAAGAGTGGGACCTGTGGGCAACTGGTAACTTAGTCATTCATTAAGGCGATAAATTGAGGCGCCACATGGTTAACAGGCAGCGATGTCACTCTGGCTTGGGCTCAGCCATTACAGCACGTGTGTGAAACCCCACTGGTTCAGGCACGGAAAAAGAATTTCAGAAAAGTCTTGAAAGAAAGCATACGACAACTAAGAGGATGTTGAGCAGGATTCCATACTTGAACAAAAGAAGCTCTCTCCTAAGTTTACTCAGAAATAGTCAAATACACCAAACTACAGATAAAATGTACCAACAGAAAATGTTGAAATGCACTTAGAGGAAAGCTGGATTTGGGGGAACACAGGGAGTAGGATATGGTGGTGGGAGGTAGGATGAAAGTAGAAAAACTTGCCAGACATCTTGGAGTAGATTTTGAGGAGGAGTGATTAATCTTACGGACGTATTCACAGTCTAGAAGGAGAACACAGCACTTAGGTCGGAAAGGATGTGCCCTGATTGTGTGGAGCCCAACAAGCAAAGGAATGCTTTGGAGTCCCACTTGGCCTTGTTTCTCTTAGGGAGGCACGTAGGACCTACTCACAGGGCACGCGCACACATTCGTTGTCATCAAGCAGATTCCTAGAGACACCCAGAGTAGAACTGCCCCATGGGGTTTTCCAGGCTGTAATCTTTATGGAAGCAGACAGCCACATCTTTCTCCTGTGGAGCCACTGGTGGGTTCTGACCGCCAACCTCTCGGCTGGCAGCCAAACGCTTTAACCACTGTGCCACCAGGGCTCCTTTACTCATGGGGCGGGGAGTGACTATTCAAACATGTATTGAGAAACTACTGGGTGCTAGGTGCTGCGGCTAGATGCTGGGGAATAAAAGACTCATGATTCCTGTCTTCACTGAGTCTAGTTTGGGGATACATCTCACAGCCAAAGAGAATGGAAGGATGGAAGGAGGCTCCATGGGAGCCCAGAGGAGATGGGGAGCAGTGCTGCCTGGGGAAGGGTAGAAGAAGGATGTTCAGGACTTCAACTCTTCCTCATGACCCTTTTCCCACCTCACAAGCAATTAGTTGATGAGTCCTGTGGATTTTACCTCTGCTGCATCTCTCACCTGCCAAAATTCCCTGTTTCAAATGCTACTCCTTGGTTCCAGGCCCGTATTGTCTTCCATCTGGATAACTGCATGTTGACTTTCCAACAGCTTTCCTGCCTTCAGCTATGGCCTCTCCAACCTGTCCTTTATGCTGATGTCAGGATGTATGTTGATGGATGATTCTATCACTGTCAGGGAGGCAACCCAGGGCTGGGAGGACTAGAACTCCAGCATAGGAAGGCAATGTGTGCATTCTTATGGCAGGTCCGTACTCAATCTTCTGGCTAACTGCTGATCTACCAGGAGTTATTTTCCTAAGCCTAGTTAGTGTTTGGAACTCAAGCATATTTTTCCACAAAGACTAGTCGGTACTATTTTATTTATGAAATGAGTTAAAAGGACATTTGTAATGTAGCTTTGGAGCCCTGGTGGCACAGTGGTTAAGAGCTCGGCTGCTAACCAAAAGGTCGGCAGTTTGAATCCACTAGCCACTCCTTGGAAACCCCCTGGGGCATTTCTACTCTGTCCTATAGGGTCGCTATGAGTCAGAATCGACTCGACAGCAATGGGTTTGGCTTTTTGGTTTTTTAATGTAGCCTAGAAACTTAATTAATCATTAAACTTATTTTCAACAGGAAATGAGTTAGTTTAAATTCTGGAACCTGGAACCCTCTGGCCCCTCCAAACCCTTCATAGTAGGAGGAGTGTATTGGATAGAGGGTAAGCTAGAAAGTAAATATAGCTCCATATTCAGAAGCCATGGCTGCCCTAGGGCAAGGGGATTGCTTTTCTCTAGCTATGATTAGAGTTTACCACTGAGAATGTGGAGAATGTAAGAGAATGTAGCATTCAGCATGTCTCTGTCTGGATCGAAATATAAACATACATCTTTGGAGTTCCTGGGTGGTACAAACAGTTAACGCGTTTGGCTACTAACCCAAAGGTTTGAGTTCACCCAGAGGCACCTTAGAAGAAAGTCCTGGTGATATACTTCCAAAAAATCAGCCATTGAAAACCCTATGGAGCACAGTTCTACTCTGATACACATGGGGCTGTCATGAGTCAGAGTCAGCTCAACTGAACTGGTGGTTATATACAGCTTTGTAAGCTGGGTGTTCTTAAACTGGGTCTGCTTGTTCCACTCCCCTGATCTCACAGTTGAAAATCAAATCTCATTTCTCCTCTGTGTATTAGCCTTTCAATGGCTTAAATGTAGTTTACCTAGGAACTTTAGAATGATTCCAGTTCCTTGGCATAGTAATTTAAAGGCTTTTGGACAGTATGAAATCTAACTATTTTTGGTTTGATTTCACAACTTTTTCTCCCTCTCATAAAGTACTTACATAGGGAACGTACATATTTATAATTTTTAAGATGAACCAAAATTAAACCTGTTTTGAGTATTTGAGTACAATTTTGCAATAGCTCTTGAAGTAACAAGGCATTGAAAAATCAAGTTTGAGAACTATGTACTGCATTTATGAGTGAAATAGATTACACCCATTAATCTGACATTTAGACACCTTGTTTTAAAGAAAGTTAAAATCATTCTGCCAGTAATATTTAAATCCAGATTTCTTTCCATAAACCAAGTTACTAAATTCACTTCAACATGACATGCCTGAAGTGATTCTACTAATTTCCTTCCTCAGAGTAATTCAAATTCTTTACCTTTCATTGTATTTAATACTTGTCAGGGCCCTTGGGAGAAGAGATAAAAGATTCTTAATTGTTCACTTTAAGTTCATTTCAGTCCCCCACCCCATGACCTTACCATTCTCCAGAGATGCTTTTCCTGACTCAGAGGAAGCAGCGTCCCTCTTCTTTCTGTGGCTAACACTGTCAACTTGTTTTGAATTTCATAGTCGTTTAATGCCTCAGGAATGCTCTGTAGGTGTTCTCTTTCTCCCTGTATCTCCAACCTCTCTCTTTCTGCTGGATTTTTTTCCCTTGTGAGTCAAATATGCTTAAGTTTATCCCATCTTAAACAAAACACTTCTTTCTATCCTAATACTTACCTCTATCCCCCTTGCCATGACTTCACAGCCAAGCTTCTTCTTTTTTTAAGAATTTATTTTATTTCTTGTTGAGAATATACACAGCAGAACATAACACCAATTCAACAGTTTCTACACGTACGATTCAGTAACCTTGATTATGTTCTTCAAGATGTGCAACCATTCTCACCCTCCTTTTCTGAATTGTTTATCCCCTATTAACATAAACTCACTGCCCCCTAAGCTTCCTATCTAACCTCTCAAGTTGCTGTTGTCAATTACAGCCAAGTCTCTTGAAAGGCCCCATCCTGATATTTGTAGGCTACAGGGAAAGTACAAATGAGGGTCTGTACACTGTATGTCTAAATACTTAA